CGAATGCAGCACCGTCTCCACGTCGGCAGTCGCCGCCTTGCATTCTGACCGCGTCTGCTGCAGCAGAGGAGTGTCGGCCGCGGGCCTGTCTTTGGACGCCTGCAGCGTAGAGAGCCTCTGGATGACGTGTGCGAGGAGGCTCGAGCCGACGTTCATGAGCACCGTGATGGCAGCACGCGGCGCAAGCAGGTTCTGCGGCGCAGCGATACTTGCGTCCGCAGCCAGCGCGAGCAGACGCAGGTTCGACACGATGAACCGCAGTGCTGCGGGCGCCACGTCGCTGCCTCTTGTTGACTCGGGCGATGGCGGTGGCGACACGACGGACGCTGACGAAGACGGATCCTGCACCTCCTTGTCGGCGAACAGCCTCTGCAGTAGCACCAGCAGCGCCGGGTCTGCGATCTTGAACGGCGCGTTCGTCTGGAAGGTCACGAGCAGTCCTTGGCCGATGACCGAGGACACGGTCTCGATGGCGGAGACCTTTGTGGTTGCATCGTCGACGTGGGCGAGCAGGTAGAGTGTGACGGTGATAACGTCCGTTACAGGGCCTTGGTCCGGGTCGACGCCCGAGCGGGTGGCACTTCCATACACGAGTGCCTGGAGGTACTCTATGAGCAGCGGGTCGATGAAGTCCTGCGATAGGATGTGCTGGACGAGACAGCTTGCGGCGAGCGTACCTGCCAGCGTCGGGTCGACATCTTCACCGCGCGACTGCTGGAAGGATTGGATGCGCCGTGTGAGCTGGTGCGCGAGCGCAAGCCAGCTCGACTGCGACAGGCGCCGCGAAAGAGCTTGCAAGAGCAGCTTGCCGAACAGCTGCTCCGGATCGTCGTCCATGGTGCGTTCGCCTGCGCGTGTGGAGGAGGTCGGCTGATAGAGTGGTTCAGCAGATCATTTCATGTAGAGACAGTATCGTGTCCGTGCCTCAGAGACCGCCGCGAACGTGCTGGCAAAGTAGACGCAGAGTAAGATGGGGTGAAGTGGAGAAGGCCGGTTGCACCGGCGTGTTGGTGCGGAAGAACAAGAATTGGCTTTGCGGTCGCCGAAGCTGTTGGTCTGAGCCCATCGCCGATTTTCTCCCGTCCAAAATCATGGAATCTAACATGGTCGAAAAATCGCCCACCTGTCCCAACGCCGATCCCATCGACACATCCTCACTTTGCAAAGTCAGGCGAGAACCACATCCAGAGTCGAGTCTACATTTGATCATGAAAAGGCGAAAGAGTGTACATAAGAGCTGCATGAAGGCGGCTTAGTCCCTGATGGGCTTGGCGCCGCCAACGACGCGCCCACGCACAAAGACGGTGGCGATGTTCCTGTCGTCACCGGTGAAGAGCCACTTTTCAAAGACATCGGGCAGCGTGTCGTCCTCCTCGACGAAGCAGCCAGGGTTGCCCGTGTATCCGGACGGGCCCCAGTGCGAGGTGGTCTGCACGAGAAGCGCATCGAACTCCTTGCCGGCCTCGAGCGATCCGATACGACTGGCCATGGCGCACACCTCGGCGCCACCGAGCGTGGCGAGATAGAAGAGAGTGGCAATGCTCAGCGGGCCCTTGGTGAAGTCGACGGTGGATTTGGACGTCATCGACGATGCAGGGTCCTGCACGGACTGCGTCGCCTCCACCTGGGTGAGATTCGAGGTGGCGATCGAGTGCGGCTTCCTCGGCTGGTACTGGCCGGCCACAGGCGGGCCTGGATACCTGCCGTCCACGGGCGGAGCTCCACCGAGGGGCTGCTGCGCCTGCTGGGCCGCCTGTTCGCTCGTGGGTGGTGCGGTCGCGGCGAGCTCCTCCGCCTCTTCCCTGGCCTTGGACTCGGCCTGGGCTCGCTGGAAGGCAAGCACCTTGGCCACCACACTCGCTTCGCGGATGGCCGAGAGCATGCCGAGACCGAATCCTCCGGAGACGTCGGTGCCGAGACCGACCTTGATGCCCATGTTGAGCATCTCGCCCACGCGCGAAGCGCCCGAGCGCAGGTTGAGGTTGCTGGTGGGGCAGTGCGACACGCCGCACTTTCGCTTCTTGATGATGGCGAGCTCGTCAGCATCCAGATGGACCGCATGCGCCAGGATCGTGCGCGGACCGAGCAGCGAGTAGTGGTCGTACACCGAGGTGTAGTTCTTGGCAAAGGGGAAGAGCTGCTTGGTGAACGTGATCTCGCCCTCGTTCTCGCTCAGATGCGTCTGCACACGTAGCGTGGGGTCGCGCGAGAGCAGCGCCGAGATGCCGGTGAGCATGGCATCCGTGCACGAGATGGCGAAGCGCGGAGTAAGGATGGGCTGCACGAGGGCATTGTTGAGCTCGCGCTCGCGCTGCCTCGAGGGCGTCGAGGTGCCGCTCTCGCGGGCGGATCGGATGCTGCTGCTGCTCGGCTGCCTCGCCACTGCCACGCTCGAACGTGAGATGGGCCTGAGCGAGGATGCGACCTTGGTGGACGAGGGGCTGCCGTTGGTCTCGGACGGGGGCTTGCTGCCGGTGGGCGACATGAGCTCGTCCATGGTGGCGCTGAGTCGTGCGATGCTGGCGTCCATCTCGGGCGAGGTGCTGTGCAGATCCGCAGGGCTCATCGAGGGCGACGAGACGTCGGGCGGCTGGCCGTACGGCCTGAGGCTCCTGGTGAAGCGAACGAACTCCTTGGTATCCTCGATGGATTGCGACGCATTCTTCTCGATGTAGTCGATGGGCGAATTGCGGTCCATCTGGCACTTGCCGACGAAGGCGCGCTGGCCGCGCTCATTGCAGATCTCGGCGAGGATCTTGGAGGCCTCGAGATGCAGCGTGGCGTAGTAGCATGCGGTGGTGGTGCCCGAGTCGATGAGACGCTGTACGACCGACTCGTACGTCTTGCGGGCATATCTTGCGTCTTCGAACCTGCGCTCACGCGGGAAGGTGACGTGCTGGAGCCAGTCGAGCAGCTCGTACTGCTGACCGAGGCCGATGTTGGGCACCTGGCAGGCGTGCGTGTGGGTATCGATGAAGCCAGAGCAGAGGAAGCTGCCGGGCGGAAGACGAGTGAGCTTGTACTGGCCCTGACGCCAGCCGTGCTTGTCGAGGACATGCTTGATGAGCTGCTGTTCGCGGCGGGCAGCTTCGTCTTGCGAGGCGTCGAAGGACGACGATGCGGCGGCTCGCGTGGGCACGGCGGGAGGAGGCATCTCGAGAGAGGTGAGCTCTGGAGCCTCGGGGAGACTGGAGCGCGTGGACCCAGGGATGGGGACCGGAGTGGAGGAGCGGTCATCGGCGGCATCGGCGACGGCGGTGCCAGTAGTGCTGGTCGAGGCGGAGGTGGAGGACTCGGCGGAAGGGGATGCGGCGGATGCGGTGGCAGCAGCGTGGGGCACCTGACGTTCGAGAATGTCGAGATCCTCCAAGAAGCGGATCACACCGCCCGAGCCGACGCCGAGCAGGCCGCGCTGGATGATGCTCAGGTCGGTTGCGGACCTGGAGCTGATGATGGCACCCACAAACACGCGCTTGGGCAGCAGATGCGGCGCAGGCATGGCAGGTCGGAAGTTCTCCGAGGCCGACGTCGGGTACCCATTGCCACCGAACGGCGGACGAAGATTGGGGCGTGCGATGGTCATGGTGGCAGCAAGGCGAGGCTACGAGTCGGTGGGGCGCTTCAGCTGCGACGAGGGTCTGGACAGCTGTGCCGCGAAATGTGGTCCGAAAGAGCTGCTTGCTGTGTGGTGATGATTGTCAAGTCGCTCGATAGCAGCGTGCTGAGCGTGGGAGTCGAGTGATTGGCGCACACGGAGGCGTGAGAGTGTGTGCGAGCGAGCGAGTGACAAGCGGATAAGAGTCACAATGGATCTGTGCGCGTCACAGGGTCGAACGTGGACGAGCCGAACGCTATCGGGAACGCTCCGTTGCAGCAGCCAAGAAGAGCAATTTCAGCTCTCTTTTTTCTTTTTTTCCCTTGGGACCGCGTGGAGGGGATGCAGACGTAAAAAAAGGAAGATAGATTCTCGCAAAGAGCCAGTGAGTCACTGTCGAGCGCCGAGTCGGAGGAGCCGTTGCGATGTGGGAAGGTCGAGCGCAAAGGCGGATCGAAGGCAAGAGCGAAAGAAGAAGAAGGAGCAAGACGTTCAGGGGATGGCGTCGAGCAAACGAGGCCTATATCTAGCTCTAAGCGTCGCTCTGGCTCCATGGGCTCCATGGGGACCCCTCGCACACACGAGATACAGGGAGGACAGGTCATCCAATCAGATTTGCTGGGCGAAGATGCACCCTGTGCGAGAGCTGCTGGGTGGGGACGGCCGTGCGGGGGGTGCCAAAAGAGAGTGTGCAGCAGGTGGGCTGCCAAATGCAGGCCAAGGTTGGAGAACTCAGTTTTTACGGCGATGTCCGAAGCTTCCTAAAACAAGGTCGCGCTGCCCTGTGATGCCACTTTGGCTTGGCTTGGCTTGCCCAGTCATGAGCCCTGCGTTTCAGAGGCTCGTCTAGATCATGGAAGCATCTGGTAGTCACTCGGCTGCCCTAGCCGTACGTCGGACGAGCACATCCGTAGCCCATGTGCATCTTGCGGCGAGCCAGTGTGACTGTGCATGCCGTGCTCAATAAAATTAATGCGGTGCCTGCTGCAAGTGGGTCTATCGACACCTCTCTGCAGACATCGGAGAAGGCCGAGCCGTATCGACACGTGAGCCTTGCCTTGCCTTCGGCTTCTCTCCGAGGATGGAATCGTGGGAGGATCGGCTCCGATACCGATGCATCCGATCTGCAAGAGACTCAATCCTTCGCTGGCAGTCGAACGCTCATCCGTCCGGCTGTTAGTGAAATCCGAATTGGTGCTCATCCACCTGCGCTCACGCATGAGTCCTGTCGAGCGGTCAGAACGACGATGCACTACGTTGCTCGAAAGTGGATATATTAAGTATGCGTACAAAGGCAGAGAAACAATGGTGCACATGGCTGATGCTATCGTAGGATGAACCAGGGGTCCGGTTCTTTTGCGGGTGGGGTGGACTTGGCGTCCTCAAGTGTCGAAGGACGCTCGACTCATGCGCGGGTGGAGAGGGCCTCGGCTTGGGCAGAGGCGGCCGCTTTGTCGCGCGCCTCGTCCTTGCGGGCGAGCTCGGCTTCACGCAGCTTCTTCTCGGCGAGGTTCTTCATCTTGAAGTAGTCCTTGTGCAGACCGCATTCGGTCTTGCCCGCCTTGTCCTTCCACCTGCCTGCACGCTCGCCAGAGTCGCCGGAGCCTGGCAGCGCAGTCGAGTGCCAGTCGCCAATCGACTTGTAGCCCAGATCGAGCAGCTCGTTGTACGGCACGGCGTTGGCCTTGGCGTACGCATCCACCTGACCGAACGACCAGTTCATCAGCGCGTTGACCTTGATGAGGCCCGTCTCGTCCACCTCGACCGCGTTGAGCGAGGCGCGGTCAGCGCCTTGCGACCGACGACGTCCCGTGAAGACGGCGCGCACGCCGAGCTCCTCGTACGCACGACGCGCAGGCTCGACCTTCACGAGGTAGTCGTATGTGTCTTCGTCCTTCTCCCACAGTTGTGTGCCCCACTTATCCTCGAACTCGCGCACGGTGGTGGTGCCCGGTGGGTAGTAGACGTGCATCTCGGCGTTGTAGTGCTTGGCGGCCTTCTGGGCGAGGTCGAGCGTCTGGGGGAAGTGGTAGAGCGTGTCGACAAAGATGAGCGGCACGAGGTGGTGGTTGGGACGGGACTGCTTGGCGGCGCGCTGCTCGCTGATGCGCGCAATCATGTCGACGGTGATGCAGCCGGTGATGCCGAACGCCGTGGTCTGGTAGAGACCGGGCAAGTTGTCGATGGCCCACTCGATGATCTCGGTCGGGTCGGCCTCGCCGAGCTTGCGGTTGATCGCCTCGAGGTTGGCAATCACGGCGCGGATCTGCGCCTCCTGCTCGGCCTGTTTGGACGATTGTGCGACTTGTGCTGTGGTCATGATGGATGCTGCGTGTTGTGACGAAGGGGCGGATGCTTTCTGTCGAATGCGGATCGCGAGCTGTAGATGCTTTTGCGATTCGAAGTGACGAACAATGGAATGAAAGGTCGACGACGAAGGGTGTTGAACTGAGGATGTGCGAAGGAAGGAGTGATGACGATGTGCTCGGAGGAAGAGGAGGGGGGAAGGCTAGGGTCGAAGGCTAGGTAGTTTTGAGGCCGTGCGGTGCGGAGCAGGTACGGGCAGACTGAGGCAAGTCAGAAGAGCACGGTCAGCACTGGCTACTCTGCAAAGGAAGGGGAGGGACAGGCGGTTCGGGGATAGCGAGAAAGAGTGACAGCTGGTGGGCATCAGCAAGCGGGTTCATGCCGCGCCGAACGCAAACCGAAGAGGGGGGCCCGGAAATTTTTTCCCGCTGTGGAGCGCTCTCACGACACAAAGCCATCAGAGCATCCTGGTGTCGTTCGACCCACCGCCCTGACATCAAGGTGGCTCAACCTGTGAATTGATCCACGGCATCCGTCGAAGCGCCCTTGCTTGTCTCGGACTCGAGTCCAGCGTGAGCGATGCTGCGACTCTGAGGCAGCCAGGCAAGCGCGCATGCACGACTACAGTACTCTTGGGCCCAGCGGAGGCAGTGTGGAGCCGGCTGAGCATCGCCGCGACCTTGCTGAGAGAGCAAAGGCTCTGTGCCTCGATCGAGGCGCCAGGAGCGGTGTTCAAAGTGCGGCGGGGCAGCGGCGTAGCGCTGGCTGGTGGGGGAGGTAGAATTTTTGCTGTTCAGACGGCGAACGAAGGCGGCAAGCCGTGGCGGCGGCGCAAATGGACTGCAGGAGGTCACGTCACGTCAAGATGATCAGGATGGCGTGCTCGACAGCTTCCACTCGCCGACTTCTTCTCGGCAAGCCTCCACCTCCGGGCTGAAGATCTCGGACATTTCGATGGATTCGAAAGTAAGCCCGATTTCCCGATACAGATCTTGGATCTCTGTATCGAAGTAGGGTCTCCTCATCGGGCGAGTTCAAAATTGCTGGACATCCTGGCGAGGTCCCGTGCTTGGCGGATCGGAGGACGCGCCGGGTCTTGCCTCGCGTCTTGGAAATTGTGAGGTGGCCGAGGCAGAGCAAGTGTTGGTCTTTTGCTGCTGCAATTTTGAGCTTACGGTATGCCCGCCTGGTCGAGAAAAGGTCGTGCTTGCCCTCACCAACACATCCATCTACAGCTGACTGAACTGTATCGCCGCGGTCAAGGCTTTCAGATGCCAGATGGTGCCAGGTCGTGTGAGCTTGGACGAAGAGAACCCAACTGCTTGGGTCGGGCGGGGAGACCAAGTGGTTGGGTGAGACACGCAAGGTGCATTCGTCGGAAGTTGCCAAGATTACACTCCCTGAGTTGGCTTCGCGCGGTACCACAGGTGGAGCTGCTGGAGCCGCGCTCAGTTCGGGATGCGCATGCAATTGCACCTCGGGGCAGATGCGCAAGACAGACGCAGCGAAGGGCTGCCAGTGTGGATGCTTCCGCCGTCTCGGAAGGCTGGGCACAGGCATCCGCCGAATGCCGAATGGGACTTTTCTGTGAAATGCAGCGCAGCCACACGGAAGGCATGCGCATACTGTATGCATGCGCATATGCACGCGCACACACTGTGCAGCTACAACGCGCTGTTTATTTCTTTACGACCTCTGACCAGCCCCTGAGAGCATGTCGTTCCTCCTCGTCGGCTCTTCCGACAGCCTCCTAGTGGCTCTTGTCAGTAGGGAAGCACAGCAGCAGGTGAAAGACGCAGAAGGTTGGGAAGCGCCAGCTTTCGGGAAGAGCGAGTCTTGGATGCGCAGAAGCGGCTCTGACAGGAGGCAGGCAGTCTACATCGCCAGCTGCTGCAGTAAAATTAGTGTGTCGGTCGGAGCCTCATTCGTCTCCGAAGCGTCAAAACTTGCTTGAGCACTCAAGAACCGCAAAACAGCCGCACTGCGCCCCGCAGCCATGCCTCCTCCGCACCCTCTCCGTCACTCCCTCGTCTCCTCCTCCACCATCCGATCGTCCTGCACCCTTTGTGTTTGGAGTCCGCCTGTGCTGCTCGTCCAATCGTTGGGCGACAGCAGAGTTGCGAGTTTGCCGGTGGCTTCCCACGTCATTCGTCCAGGGTCCATCGCGAGCCATGTACTCGTCGTCGTCGTCGCTGGGAGCCAACCCTCCCCGCAAACACCACTCCT